AAAGATGAACAGAGGATGAAGATACCGGTTGTGAACCGTATCGCTGAAAGCAAGATGGACGAAACTCACGATGAAAAGCACATCACCAAAAAGAAAGATGATCGAAATGAACGTCATCGAAATAGAGATCATCGATATGAAGTTTATCGAAATAAAGATTGTCGAATGACTTTCGATCATCTATACTCGTGAGCTTTGTTTTACTGATATAACTCTAAGTGATTATTGCTTCGGTTTATTCTTCCAGAAAATTTACCATATACATGCATGTGTGTTAGCAGCATCAATTCAAATGTAACGTATGTATCGTATATTAGGACCTGGTTTTTTCGGTATGAGTAACTTATTTAATTACCACCTTAGTTTCGAAGTCAAGTCAGTTCGTTGCTTGACGTAGGAACTGATTAAATTACTTACTTAAATTAATTTTATTGTAGCAGATAATTATAACTACTATGTACAATAAGCACCAACAACCATAACAATAGATGATTTATATTACTGCAAATATTATTTGAAAATATCACCGCTACGTTTGGTATTTGAAAGACAAATGGCCAAAAATAGAAATCACTGATAGTCACATTCCCAAAGTAATACATCGTTGCTTTTCAGCGATGTCACCACTTTCAACAATGAGAATATTAACCTATTCTCTTACTTATTAGTAATGGAATTAATTTTATATCACTCTGTATATTGTATAATAATACTAAAGATTAACATAACTTTTCGAACATAGGATTTAATCTCAAATATAATTCATTGACAAAGATGCTCCTAAAAGGCATCAAAATTTATCTTGTAAATACAAAAAATTAGTCTTTTTTGTTTTAATGTGGCAATCATAGAATGAAATGTCGACTTTTTGGTTTATCTTGCAGATTATGCAAAAACATTTATATATAAAAATAGATTCTTAAGCTTGCCTGTAAAGCAAAAATTAATCGTTCTACTATGTTTAATCAATGTTTATCAATTTCGAGTTTGATTACAATACAAATGTTGCAAAGAAAGAAAAACTATTCAATATATCATGAGAGAACTTTTTAAAAGTAAATTATAAAAAACTAATTATAAAATCCTCGAAAAAGTTTTGTTTGAAAGAAAAATAGATGTATAAAATACGAATTTAAGTATGACTAATCGCATCGCTCGCTATATAAGAATGTATGACGAAAATACAATTCAACCCAAACATTGAACAATATAAGCTATATTGGTCTTAAAATCTTTAGAAAGATTCACACTTGTTTGATTACATTTCAGAATTTTTATAATGTGTTAATCTCTTTCAAAATTGAAATTATTTTACGATTATTGATCTTTTTTAATAAAATATTTATTTTTATTTTTCTTCAAATAAAGCACAAGCTCAAAATATGTTTTAAACTTCAAATTGACTATTAATGAAACTGATTATCAATTCCTGGAACAAATAAAACAAAATGCATAAAAAATAATCAGAGAATAAAATTCTTATATTATATAATTGATTTATAATAATGATTAAATACTGTTGTTTTTTCAATTCCAATATCGCATCTTTAAAAAATAACTAGGCACAGAAGAAGAACAATCAAAAGTTGTTTCTTCATTTTATTCATGTATCGAATTGTCTAAATAATGCTAAATCAATAGGCAGAATACGATAAAATAGACTGAAATGAATCATTCTTTCTTTCTGTACATTGAATAGGCCAACATAACATTTCCCTTGTTTTCTTACATTAATGAATATATATCTTGTACAAAAGAAGAACACATAGCTGTATTTTACTTTAGTTCAAAGAAGACTATTCTTTTTAAAGTTGTAAAAATATTTTAATAAACAAAATTATTTAATCATATTCATTAATGTCGGTCGAACCAAAACAAAACAATATCATGCAAGAAAATAATGATGCTAACGTTCAGATGGATAATTATGTCCTCAGTTATGTAAAGATAAAAACCAAGGCATTATCAACATGTATTGGGATATTATTAGATGGATCAATAGACGATAAACAATTTTGTTTCTTGTCGCATTCATCAAAACTTGATGAACATGAAGATGATAATGTAGAAGATTTACTTATTCGTTTACTTGAAGATTTATCATCTAAGTTGATGGAAGTATTATGTGTTAATTCTTTATCATCGAAAAAGCATTCAATCAACAATCTCAAATTGTTGATTGCAGGAGGTTCATTCGATGAACATATACTGACACGTAAGGCTTTTTCTTTGCTGAATGAACGTAGAACTTCACATGTAATACAAAAATTAAGCACAGATAAAAATATTAATCATCTTCTACAAGAGTTAAAAGATCGTGTGGTAATAATTCAACCGGTAACATATGTTTTATCAGACGTTGATGAAGACAAAGGTGAGTAAAATAACATTTTTTTCGATTTTAACTAGAAAGCCTAATCAGTTTATAAATCCTTTATGAAAAGCTAATGAAGCAAACGCATAGTTGATTAATCGATGAACTTTTGAATATTTAATACATGTTGGTATTATTGTTGTAGGATGCGATAATCAAAATGCTCTTGATGCACCTATTGTTTGGGTAAAATATAACTGCTTGTCAAAAAGCGGTCGTGTATGTGTGGAGTGGTGTAATCCACCTCACGAAATTCAGCTGGCTTTAATGTATATCAAGAACTTTAAATCAGATGATAAATCTCAATATACTTGGCATTGGAAAGAAAAAAAGATCATGAAGATGAAAAAAGAGCTTCAAATTGATGAAATCCAATTAAGAGCATTCATGAAAGACTTAAGTAAGATGGAAGGTTAAAATTTTGGCGTGGCGTTGCTAAAAAGTTTGTCTTGATATTTATATATATATATATATATGTACGAAATATTTGCCAATAAGAGATGAATTATATATCAATAGATATTCTAAATAGAAAAAATAATTTGAAACATGGTTTATTCGAGTATAACTAGATATGAATTATTTCAGAATAGCTTTTTTATTTAATTATTAGATGATAACCTGACATTATAGTCAATATAAATTTTTATTCGTTGATTCTGATTTTGAAAACGAATACAGCAATAATCAAAATATTGTTTAGTTCGTTTTTAATTCTTAAATAAAGAGAAAAAATGTTTATAGTGATACTGACTACATTATTAAAAGTTGATTTCTGCTAATAACATGACAAAAAACAAATCCTAGGAAGAAATGATTTTCTCCCTTTTCTGATGGTAATACTTCTAATTTGTAAAGATGTTTTCAATTATTGAGTTAAATTTTCAATTGACTATATTAATAGAAACATTTGTTTTTTTGTTTTTAGGTTTTGTTTCATCAACAATGAATTTTAGTGTAAGAGTTTTTTTCTTAACTATTCTCATTGTTTGATGATTAAAAGAACATGATGGAACATGACATAATAAAAAGTAGAAAAGAATAGGAGCAGAACTTAAACAGCGCTATTTCGTCTTTAATTGACTTCTGTTAAATCAAATACATTTACTATGATGCATATTTAGCTACTATTGTTCTTATCTATGAATTGCATCATTATCTTAAAAACTATTGTCTTGTTTTCATAGTACTTATATATGCACCAGGCTATATAATAAAGTCTGAGGATACGAAACAGTGTAAAATAAAGAAAGTATATACAGTGGACTAATATTATTTATTCATATAGAAGAAGAAAATATGTATAATCATAAAGAAAAAGGAAAAATTATAATTTCTAGAAAAGTTTATAAACTTGCACAAAAGTCTTTTTCTCATTTACATTATTC